AGGATTCTCTTAGGTTAGGTAAGGTACTGGACAAATGGTACTGGACTGGATTTGCCTTTGATCCTCTACATAAAGAGAAGACAAGGCTGATTTCCTTTTTCGAAATATGCATTAAGTACATTATTTTGAGTTTAACCCTATGCTTTTCGAATGCACTTCAGTTTGAAAAGGTTAGAGTAGGTAAAAATCTACATATACACCTTCAGGCAGAAACTATAACACCTATTAAACTCTTTGTCTTTTAAATCCTTTCTTCATGTGCAGACATACTCTCCTTTGGTTAGTTCAGAGCTTTAAAATGTAGGTTTATCATCACTCAGACATGGTGAGGCCAGCGGACCAGGAGAGGAGGCATAGAGAGGCAGTTTGTGGCTCACAGTTGTTCAGAGCAGGGGGCAGGCCACACCCTGGGGTCCACTCAGGGGGGCCCCAGCCCTGCTTGGAAGGCAGAGGGAGCCGGGAAAACACGGGCAGGGGAGGAGCAGACAAAGCAGGGTGAGCAGGCGTAGGACTGGCTGATATGGGTGACTCCAGCAGGCCCTGGGGCAGAGGCACTGCCCTTTCTGTCCATGCCTGACTCCTGGGTGATTCGGGCTGGGGTCAGTGGTCCTGAGTGTGAGAGCCCCGCAGGGGAGGTGGCGCTGGTTTTGGGAGTCTGTTTCTATGGGAAAGGTGCATCTGAAGGAGAGTCATTTACCGTTTCTCAGAATTGGCCAGCCTTGGGAGGGGCAGTCTGCAGGGTCAGCAAGACCCTAAATGGCAAAGCATGATTAATGTTTCACCTGCAGTCATTGTGCTGGAACATGCAGCACACTTACCAGCTTCGTGAGTGAGCAAGACCAGGCCTCAACCCTGAGAAAAGATATATTCTAGCAGGACAGAAACGCCCATAAGGAGCTAATTTCACTAGAATGTGGATAGGTAAGCACCACACCAGTGATGAAGACAAGGTGCTGAATCGGTGGTGTCTGAGGGCCTGGCATGGGAGCACTGTTATGTCCTAGCATATCTCAAAAAGGCAAAGCCATTAATTACTTGCCTTTTTATCAGATAATTTTCTGTAGCATTTCTGGAAATATTTTTTAATGCAGTCACTAAATATACAGCCCTTCATCTCCCCGCAGGCCTCAGAGTCATGGGGCTTTGTAGCTAGAAGTCCTGTGCCCCGTGTAGGCGGAGCCTGAATTGCGAGGTCAGACGACTTTTGCACAGTCTCAGGTGAGCCTCTTACTGGGCTACTGCCAGCTCCAGTGTGCAAATGGCTTCAGCCAAAAATTACACACGCTTATTGTATTTGTTTGTTTGTTTGTTTATTAAACACACAATATTATGTAGATATTGGCCAAGATCCTTGCTGCTACAGGGAGTCTGCCATCTAAACGTGCAGTTTTTTTCCTTCTATCAAGTCACATCGTATCTCAGCACATTTTAACAAATCTAACTGGTCACTTGGCAGGTACTCATTACATCAGTAACAGTCTGACTTTATGGGACAGTGTCAAAGCAATGTAAGTGACATGTTAATTATTTTACTTACTGCCTGATCTGGACTAATTTAGTCTTTTCTCTGCACTATTATATGTGTTACACAATCTGAGATGATTCTTAAGTTTTATTTACAGAGCTGGAGAACAAGTAGCATGAGTTTAGAAAGCAAAAAACAGATCAATCTAGTAGTTTGTCAGCAACAGCCATTTCCCCATAGGCATAAAAGACATGGTGAACCATTTCAGAAGACTGAACAGCTTTGTTAGATCATTGCAGAAAATGCATTTCTTGTCTTGATCTCTCTAATAGTATTAAAGTGTTTTTCAAATATTGTACTTACTGATTATTTTCTTTAGCCTTATGCTTATCACCACTCAGATTATAGTTGGTATTATTTTCTAAAAAACCCCACAGGTTCTATGGGATAAACAGGTAAGAAAAGGCTTCTGCAACATGCATGGGATGTTAGTAGACACTAAATGAGAAAGATTCTCATGGTCTAGTAACTTGAGTACCTACTCAACTAGACAATGAGCAAATTTCTTTTCGGCAGGACTTCTCAGGACCTTTAATAAGAAAATGTGAATTACAGACATCAAGAAGTGAAACATATATGTAGCATTTCCAAATCTGTTAATTCACAGATCCTTCACTACTTGTTTTCTCTCAGGAAGCATATTCTAATGTAATGAGTAGCAGACAGTGCGTATTTTTAAAGCACCAAGTGTACAATACACTGTGGACCAATTTAAAAAGTAAAAAATGTGGGGGAGGCGTTTTTCTGCAATCAAGAATCCTATTTCCCAAATGGGAAATATAAGGCATAAATGCATTAGACTTCAGGTAATGGTATGAGGAAAAATACTGAAGATATCACAAAGTGACATGTGATCAGTTGTCCAATTGAATGACGTTAAAATCGTTTGAGTGCAGCAGTAGGAGGAACAAATAGAGCGCAATGAGATCAGAGGTAGGAGACACATCAGGTGTGGTTGCTGTGGCGAAAGAAGTGGCTGACCTTGGGGGAGGTCCAGGACGCTCCGAGGCAGGTCAGTGTGATTCAGACACAGTTGGCCAGAATGTCTTGACCTCCATGGGCGCCTGAATCGCTTGGGGATTCAGTAGATTTGGCCTGAGGATCGAGGTTCTGCATTTCTGACAAACTTCCAACTGACACCGATGCTGCTGGTCTTGGGATCACACTCTGAGGGGCAAGAAGTTAGAGCAGGAGGTGGCAAGCATTTTTATACCAGATAGTAAATACTTGAGTATTTGTGAGCCATACAGTTTGTTGCAACTACTGAACTCTGTCATTGTAATGCAAAAGCAGCCGCAGACGACGTGTACATGAATAAACATGGTTGTGTTCCAAAAAGCCTTTATGATAGACTCTGAAATGTGAACTTTAGATAATCTTCATCTATCAAAAATTCTTATTTGATTTTTTTCAATCATTTAAAAGTATAAAACCATTCTTAGTTCATGGGCCATACAAAAACAAGCAGTGGGCCTGCAAAAAAAAGTTAGCTGACCTCTGAGTTAGAGGATAAGATTTTACATCCTGTGAATAGTGGGCAGAGGTTTCCCTGGGAAGCACATCTCACTAAATCCATTCATATTTCTCTCTCCTAAACCTTCATAGAATTTTTCATGCTTCATTTTCCCTCTACTAGTTGGGTTATATCTTTTTACAGAAGAAAACATTCTCATCGACAGTACAAATTCCTCAGATAGTTTCAGAGTTTATCAGGCATCATTATTTCTGTCACCTGTATAGTGTGATGCAGTGCCTTCCACATAGAAGATGCCCAGCAGGTGTGTTTAATCAGAATTTAATTTAGCTGAATCACATTTAATCTGTAGAAGTCACCTTCAGCTTGGCCTTGAGGAAGGGTGCTTCCTAGAGGATTAATAAGGAGAGTGAGAGGAGAATTCCAAGGGACGAGAAAGTGGACTAAGGAGAGGAGGTGATAGGAGAGGGCCATGTAGGGAATGATCAATCTGTGAAAATATTTGACAGATATTGAACATTAGTGTATGAAAATGGTAGAAAACAAATCAGGGTCAAGTTACATGAAAGGCCTAAATGACAGATCTGAATTTTAGGGAATGATGTATGTAAGGAAGTTTCAAAAGCTTTCATCTGATTTACACTGTAGACAGAATTTATAGCTTAGTGGGGATGGAGAAGTCGAGAAGACCTGCAGCCATGGTCAGTTCTCGTCGGTGAGGATCTGGATTATGCCTGTGGAGAGAACAGGGAAGAAGGGACTGGAAGGTGGCTCCAGGCTGGAATGCTCTCCAAGACTGGAAACAAAGGGAACCTCAGAACGCCCTGAATTGGGAAGTCCTGCCCTTCTCAGTTGTCCCAAAAGCAGTACATGTTGCATTGTGCAGGATGCTTACTTGGCTGGGTTTTTTAAATGTTTTTTAATTCCAAAAGTCATATCTGTTCTTTTGCCAGTATCCTATATTAATTTTTAATATAGTTTCTGGACTTACTACTGTGAGTATTAACACACTGGTTTGTTCACTAACTTTATTTTCAGATTAATTTTTAGGCATGTACACAAATGCCTATATTCTGTCTAAATACAGAAAAAGTCAGTCTTCAATGCCATGTTTTCACAAACGAAAGTGAAGACCAAAGAATTTTATAGATTTAGTCTCAGAAAATCTCTTAAGTGCTGAAGGGTAAAGGGACAACACTGCCCCCAGAGACATCCATCCTTTAGCTGTAAGGGACACCTTCCCACATAATTCTTTAAAAAATCACATGTGGAGAGGTTTTTAGGGCAGCTTCATATTTTTTGTGTAAAAATCCTTGGAGAGTTTGAGGTGAAGGGGGAGTGAAGGGAACTTGGTCCGACAGTCTGGCAGCTTGCAGCCTCCCACGCCACCGTCCCGTTTGCAAAAGTGCTGACCAGCACGAATGGATCACAGCATGAGCCTCCCTCTGCAGCAGGGGGCCAGGCGGTCTGCTGGAAAGTTCTGTGAATGTCAGAAATATGGGAGGCATTAACTCTCGTACTGCTCAGCTGATCAGAAGTCTCAGGGTCAACAAAAATACTGCTGCCTGTGATTTTTAACGTGATGATTAGTTTCCCTCAATACAACAGATATTTGAGCATGATATTTATATTACTTGCATAGTTCATTAGATAATAGATAAAATTGTAAATACAAGAGGAATTTATGATAAAACATTTTATAAGACACTTTGAATTTCTGTTCCTTTAATTTTGTGACTAAAATGGCCTTTCCGAGCTTGGTATTTTCCATTGTTTCAAGGTTGATGACGTGGACAGAGTCTTACAGAGAAAATTCTGTGGGGATTGTCTGGTTAACTTCACGGTCTAAAATGCAGTTTGGGTCCGTAACATCAACACGGATCTTTTTTCTCAAGCAAGCGTCTTATTACATAGCACCTAGTCTTTCACTTCGGCTCTGTTATTTTAACCATCCCCATTTCCCTTGTTTCTCTCTGCCTTTGACCTCCATTTGGCCTGCAGATGGTTCTGTGAGGGGAAAGAGCTGTACAACACTCCCGACCTTCAGATCCGCTGCGAGGGCGGAGACCTGCACACCCTGGTCATCGCAGAGGCCTTCGAGGACGACACAGGCCGCTATACCTGTCTGGCTACAAACCCCAGCGGCTCAGAAGCGACGTCTGCCGAGGTGTTCATTGAAGGTGAGAAGCGCCTGGTGAAGGAGCCCGAATGGTTTGGGGCTCAAGCCAGGCTCCCCGGGGAAACACTCCCAGGGCAGACGGCTTAATGGTGGTGTGCTCAAACCTCGTTTCTCCATTAAACTTCTAATGTCAACAGTTGTTCCTTTTATTTTAAAACATTTCAGCTACATTAACTTGAATTTATTTAAGATACAAAGTATCCACCTTATTTTTGGTTTCACGAACAGAGAATGAGAACATATTGAAATAGCATATCTATCCGCTAGAGCTAAACTCATAATGATTTAGGAAATCATTCATGGGAATGCTAGGTGATTGAATGTTTTTAAGTTTTCTATTTTTATCCTAGAGATTTTCCTCTTGTTAAGACTGTTACTCCAGCTAGATGTGCATTGAGCATGCAGTCACTAAGAGAAAAGTTTCAAGAATCAATTACAAATTATATTCAAGGGGTAGGCAGAGAGGAGAATATTTCTACTGCTCTGTCAATTCATTTTTGATAAGACTCATCCTGTGGGGAATTAAAAAACTTGACATTGAAGTACATAGTTTTACTGAGTATTGCATTTGGTCAATAACAGTCTTTTAAGTTGGAAGTGTGTTAAGCACCACAGTGTTCATTTTGCCTCAAACCCGTAAATTGATGAGCACACTGTTAATTGGTTGCCTTTCAAAATAGTGATTAAAATACAGGAAGAAGATTAAAATCCTTGAGGTTTCCACTACCTTAATCTTCATCTTTTTTACTATTATTAACTGTTTAATACCACCAGATTTCTTCATTATTTCAACTAGAAGAAATCAAGATGTGAACCATCATTTTTAGCTCGAAGAACTGACAAAAAGCATTTAGTCCCATCAGTAATTGACCACTGGCCGGTAAGATAGTGTCCTCACTTCCAGCGAGGCTCCTCTGTATCACCTTTGGAAGTGAGTGTCTCTGCTCCTCAAGGGAGGTCCTGTCGTTAGGCCAACATTCATTGTATGACAGTGAATAATGCTTACATGGCCTTATAAATACAAACACATACATGCATAACCATGTAAAATCCACTGTAAGCCTAAGAGACATTAATATCCCCTTTTTACAAATGGGCAAACCGAGACCCAGAGAGGCCAGGGGCACTCGGGGTCACCCATGGCTCTAAATCCATGTAGGCACCAGGGCCCAAATTCTTAACCACCGTGTTACACATTTCCAAATGCTAAAAAGAATGACAAAATGATTTTTAACATTTAACTACTCAGTGGTATTGGTTATGGGAGGATTGTGGAGCCAACTTACTGAGCTTTTTATAGTACAGAGAACGTAAACGTCCACCAACAGCCTACTTGCTATTGATGGTCAGATTTGCTTCCCAAATCCACAGACTCTTAAAATTAAATGCTTTATTTGCCTTTGGCATTGCTAGAAATATGGCAAATTTTAGTGTGTATTGCTTTTATGCTATAGACTAAATGTTCAATGTTAAATTAGGTTTAAGTAATAGCCTACCAATCAATTCAGCCAACATTTGTCAAGGCCCTACTATGTGCTAGATAGTACGGATGCAACTGTTACTAAAACATAGTCCCTGTATTGAAGAGTACCAACCTAATACGAGAGATGGACACTTAAACAAAAAAGAGAATATAAAATAAGTGATGGTATAGTACATGATACAGTAGAAATATGTAAAGTGTTATAAGGATATAAACTAATATAAAAGATAAACAGCAAGAAAAATAAGATATACCTCTTTTGCATATAATAAAAGGAATAGTGGATTCTTTCTGCTGTTCAGTTTTCCTCATGATAACACTGAACTTTCACCGCCAACCAGCCATCTGTATTTCTTCTTTGGAGAAGTGTCTGTTCAGGTCCTCTGACCATTTTTTAACTGGGTTATTTGGGTTTTTTGGTGTTGACTCATATGAGTTTTTCACATATTTTGGATGTTAACCCCTTATTCGATAAATCACTTACAAATATACTGTGTGCTGCCTTTTTGTTTTGTTGATGATGTCCTTTGCTGTACAGAAGCTTTTTGGTTAGATCCACTTGTTCTACTTGTACATTTCTTATTTTGTTGCCTTTACCTGGGAGACGTGTACAGAAAAAAGTTGCTCATGCTTATGTTCCAGAGATTTTTGCCTATGTTTTCTTCTAAGAGTTTTATGGATTCGTGACTTATATTCTGGTATTTTAGCCATTTTGAGTTTACTTTTGTGTATGGAGTTAGACAGTGATCCAGTTTCATTTCTTACATGTAGCTGTCCAGTTCCCAACACCAGTTGTTGAAGAGGCTGTCATTTCCCTGTTGTATATCCATGGCTCCGTTATCATATAGATGTGTGGGTTTCTATCTGGGCTTTCTATTCTGTTCCACTGATCTAAGAGTATGTAGACGGAATGGAGCTAGGACTGGACATACTAATGAGCAGACCAACGAAGGAGAAAGAAGAGCTGGGGAAGCGCAAGGGGCCGAGTCTGAGTCTGAGCCTAGTCCCCCCTGTGCACTGAACTTCCAGGGGGAGGAGGTGCCAGCAAAGGAGAGTGAGGAGGAACAGCCCCTGCTTGGGGGAGAGGCTGGGCACAGTGGCATGAAGTGGGCAGGAGACAGTGTTCTGGAAGGAGGGTGATGGCTCTGCCCCCTGCTGCTGGGAATCCGCAGACAAGGCTGCGGAGGAACCCCCAGGGTCAGCCACTGCGGAGCTGTTGCCAGTTTTAACATCCAGTCCAGGCATCCTGGAGAGGACCAGCAGTCCGACCCAGTGAGCTGAGTTAAGTTTGCAGAAGTGGAAGGAGAGGCAACAAATAGGCTGTGGGGTGAAGTTTTGTTCAAATGGCAGCAGAGATCTGGGCCAGTATCTGGCACGGAGTGTGGGATGGAGACTGTTTTTGCTGTTCGCTTGCTTGTTTTCATACCAGAATCACAACAGCATGTTTCTGTGTAAGGAAAGTAACCCAAGAGAGAAGACCTAGATTATGCAGAGAGGACGGAGAATAAAACAGACCCCAGAATCTTTGAAAAGAAAAAAGGAAACAGAATCTGACCCACATGTATGCTAGATGGGGAGGTGGTGCCCTTAAGGACTAGATGGCAAAGAGATAGTCTCAAAAAATTCACAGTATAAATGGAAAAGGAAAGGGGAAAGTAAACATGGGAAACAAAAGAAACACCTCAAATTCTTGCCTCTGCTTGCCCCTCCTGATTATAAAGTGGGTTATACAAGTCATGTTGGCTTTAGGAGCAACAGAGGGCAGGCCAGTGGCCCTGACATGTGGGATGAAGGAAGCTGGAGTAAACTTGACCTGTGGATCAGGATTTGGGCGGGATGGAGAGGACGGCAGGGCAGCATAAAAAAGTTGGGGAAGGTGCAGGGATACTTGATCATAATATGTGTTGACAGTCCTGTTTGACATTTATTTGTAAATTTTCGATGCTTTGAATAGTCAAATAAAATGTGTGCCCCTCTTAAACAACATTTGGAAGCATCGCTCCTGTTGATCCCAGCAGGGGAAAGCATCCAGGTTCCTTCTGCTGAGTTTTAAAAATGTGCTCAGAGAAGCTACAGGAGTCTAAGCACAGCTTTGCCCATTGTTCACATTAGTTTTAAATAACTTTAATATTTTCTGACTAGCATAGTCCTTAGCTCCATGACCTTGGACAGCTATTCAGTGGCTCTATGCTTCAGTTTCTCCATCTCTGCATGGAGAAAACTAGTTTGCTGTAAGGACTGAATGAGTTAATACCTTAGATTAACATAGTTAGTACCTGACACACAGTGTTATTACTATTACAAAAATAGCACATACTCATTTTGAAAAGCTAAAACATACAGACAAAAGGAAGACATAAAAATCATGTGTATTTCCACTCCCCTGGGTCAGTCACTCTTAGTATCGTGATCTTTTCTATCTTTTTCCTACAGATTATATTCCTGTAACTATATATTTTATTGTACATACTCTTAAAAATTTAACCTGTTGTGGCACAAACATCTACTCATGTTGTTAAACATTGTTTAACACTCACTTTAGTGCTTTTATAGTTATTCATCACAACATTTTAAATCATTGGCATTACTTCACTTACTCTGAGAGTGCAGGTGATTGTTGCCCTGCCGATAATCACAGCAACAGAGAAAGGAGGGAGAAAAATGAGGAGTACAAATGAGGGCAGAGCATATTCCTTAAATTTTGAAAGGCAAACCAGGTATGAAAGGATGAACTCCATCATTAGATTCACCAAAGTCAATCAGGGGTTTTAAATACATGCAAATATCTATTTATATACTTATGTAATATTGCATAAAAAATATTTTTTAACGGTTGATATCTGCTTTCATGAAGGCTTCCTTTTCTCTGAAATTGAAGCTGTGTAATTTACTTCGTTAGCTTCCATTCAGAAATGCAGCTTAAAAAAAAAAAGTTAAGATACCACATTGACAAAAGTAATTAAAACAGTGTTTTCATGAGTGTAAGGAATATAGGCATTTTGATATTGCTATTTTATATACCTTTCTGTGGAGATGTTAAGAATGGAGATAATAAATATGTCCATCCCCAGTGGAATGATAAAATGATGGTATATCTACGTGAATTTATTTGAAGCAGCTATTAGAAAGTTACTAAGTATATGTTTGTTATCATGGAGAGGCATTTCACATGCTAAGTGGGGTAAAAAGCTCTCATTGAGCCGTTTGCATAGCGCTGTCTTTTATAAATATAGTTACTATTTATATGTGTGCATAGGAATAAACTTTGGAAGGATAAGCGCCAAAGTAACTGGGTGGTGGTATTTCAAATGATTTTTTTTTTGTAATTTCTGCCATTGCATATTTTCTGGGTCCTTTCCTCCAAGGCGGTATTAAATTGGGTATATTTTTAACATGGAAAGGAAACACCTTTTAAAGGCAAGACAGGAGGTTCATTTTTGTGATGTTTCCAGTGGCACCCCATTGCCAGGATATAGCAGAGGCCATTGGCCCTTGATTCCTTCATTCTGTGTGAAGAGCAATGTAGACATAGTTACCATTTAGGCAGGTAGACATCAGATGAACAGACAGACAGTGGTGGAAGGACCGGATGCTTCAGCTCGGAGCCGACATCAGAAACGGAAAGTGATGGTTTGATTAATTCAGAGAAAAATGTTAACCTGTGAGAGGGGTGTTTTTCCTGACTGGCAGGTGCAAAGCAGAGGAGATGGGGTGGAGGAGGGAAGCCCACCCTGAGGGAGGCAATGCAGCTTGCTGCGCAGATGGGGAGATGAGATCTGCCACCGTCCCCAAGAGCAGCCCTGACACCTGAGACGGAATGTGACGTTGAGATTGCACAAGGGTTGGACAAGTGTGCAGAGACCAGCAAGTGTATCTTTTGCAGGGACCACAAACCTTTTTGGCCCTTTACGTTTCTCTGAACATCAGCTTGAAAAAAAGTAGGAAAAGAGAATGAAAAAAAGAATGGCTTTCTAAATAGATCATCAGAGGGGATTTTATTATGAAGATTCAAGTGTTTGGAGTCAGATGAAGAACACTAGTTCTCTCCCCAGTTTCTGGCTGCTTTGAGAGCATCTGCAACAACCCCCGAAGGACTTCTGCCACCTCTCCCTCTCCCCTAACACTCTCAGGACTCCAGTAACATTGATCTCTCAGGCTGCGCATGACTTTGTGGCAAGTGGGCCAATGGACTTTCTCCCACTGCTCAGCGCACCTGCCCATCCTGCTCGAGCATCCTGCCTGTCTGCCCTGATCTCAGCTCGCTGCCCTGCTGCCCTCCCGCTCCGGCTCCCCCTGTCAGTTCTCCGGGCAAGCACCAGTTTGCCGCCTGGACACAAGTCCATACGCTTCAGCTGGTGTCCCCTCATTTCTTGACCCACTTCCCACTTCTGCCCCTGGGCTTAGCCCCTGTTCCGTGCAGTCTGCTCATTCCATCTCATTCCACTTCGGGTCTAGGCCTCCAGGCACAAGCCCTCCAGGCACAAGCCCTCCAGGCACACCCCTGCACACAGCTCTGAAGGCCTCATAGCCTGGTGGGCAGTCGAGGTCAGACACCCTCTGGCCACCACTTTCTAGTTATGTGACCTCATGCAAATTTGTTCCTCAGTGTTCTTACCTGTGACTGGACATAACCCACATCTTAGTGAGGCTCATGATTACAGCACTTAAAGGCTGTAAAGGCTGTCAACTGCCAGGCAGACGTAAGTCCTCAGAAAGTGGTCGTTCCCTCCCTAGCCCCACCTCTGTTCCCAGAGACCTTGTCATTTGCTAACAGGTAGGATGTTAAAAGCCACCTGAGTAGTGTGAGCAAGAACCATGGGGTCTCAGGGAAGCCGGAGCGCAGGAAAGCAGGACAGGTATCCTCTTAAGGGGAGACTGTTGGGAAAAGACTGGAAAGGAGTGTCCTGTGAGAAGGAATGAATCAACTAAAGGTCCACATGGGAAGGAGCAAGAAGTGAAGCCCTGCCTCCCTTGGATCTTGGAGCGAAGTCCCCACCCTGCTGGAGCCGCCCTCACCACCCTCCTTAAAATCGGCCCTGCTGCCTCCCACCCTCCCTGCACCCTGCACTGCTGGGTGTTTTCCCGCTTCCCCCGCCACCACATCACACATGGACTGACTTCATCTGTCGTCTGTGTTCTCAGAACCCCACAGGGGCAGAGACACGTGCGAATACGCCCCTTGTGTTGTGGAGTGAGCACCAGTGTGTTCAGCGCTCCGGGTGGGGTTCCGTGAGGTGTAAGTGCAGGGCGTTCTGGCAGACAGAGCTAGAAAATCAGGCTGGACGTCATGGAGGCTGCTCAACAGCAGGATTTTAGGTTTTTAATTTACTGGATAGAAACTCCATATCATCCAAGTTTTATGGATGTGTTATAGTAAAATCAATCTGACATCAGTTGAAGACAAATTAGAGAGATTGAGGGAGGAAGACAAGAATCTGTGTTGTAGTTCAGAAACAAAGTAGAGGAAGCCTACAGTAGGCAGTAGTCACAGATATAAATAGGAAGGGACACAAACCATTCCGGCACAATTACCTAAACTTTGTTTCAGCATCAGTAAAAGACTGGAGAACATTACATTGCAGGAAGGAGCTCTTGACAGCCATCTGAGAGAATTAAATCAGTGTGTACATTGTAAGTGTTCTTACAGGCAGATATAACTGCTTGCAAAGAGTACATGTAGTGTGATCCATTTGTATAAATATGTACATAAACTTGTTGATACACTAAATTTATTTGATAAACACCAGAATGTAAACATGCAGTGTTAAGGAAGGTACCAATGGTGTTCATCATTATGTCACACAATTCTGTGCTATTTGGTTAGTTTTCTATAATCAGATGTTATTTTATATAAAAATACTTTTAAATAGATAATTTAAGTTACATGTGTCTCATAAGAGAACTATCACAAACACATTTCAAATCACCATGGTTATTTTAAATCCATCGCCTAAAATCTTTTGTCGTAAAATACATGTGCATTCAAATGTAAGTCTAGTTTACATTTTGACTGAAATTTGATAGGTGACCCTTAATTCCAAAACAGTAATGAAGCAAATGAATGTGGGAGGTGTGGTCCAAAATGAGAAACACTCATATTCAAGAATGAAGTCACTGTCACATTCTAACCTATCAAAGAGTCAGAAAGCATCTCTGAATTAAAGGGTAATGAAAATATTAATAATCCACATCAGGCAATCTCCTGGGAAGCATTACAGTATAAAACCATGCATGTTTTACATACACACACACGTTTACTTCATAATTTTTCATAATTTTATAAATAATATGCTTATGATGGCCAAAGTGGTAAAAATGAAGTCAATATTAAATCTGGCATTAAAATCATATAGTTTTGAAGAAAACTTTATAGTGCCTCCTTTTTAAAAATTATTTTCTGTAAAAGAAGTCTAAGTAAAAATGCTATTGAACCATTCTGTATTTCAAAATAAGACTATGTTATTGCTTAAAAATGAAGAATTTGACTATCGGAAGCAGGATACTACTTTTATCTTGACTTGACTATTATTTTTAACTCTCTCAGGTGCCAGTTCAACAGACTCTGACGGTGAAAGTTTGACTTTCAAATCAAAGCCTGGAGCCATGCCTCAGTAAGTGCCTGCATTCCATCAGCAAGACCCCTCCGATCGCTGGGTGGGGGCCGCGCTCATGGTGCACGTAAGGCAAAGGCCAGCTGGTTCAGAGATCAAAAACGTGAATGTGGAACACAATTTTCAATTTAAAGCTTTGGACTTTGAGGTCTGCGCTTGATCATTGATACGCTAGACTCTAACCATATACAATGCCAGTTTCAAAGACAATTAACTGTTTATAAATGTATGAAAATGTCAGTTGTCAGAAAATTAGTTAAGTCATTACTAAAATGTAAATGAGGACCAATTTATACAAATTGGAAACTATCTAATTAGGCCAAAAATAGGTTTCCATTTGGATAAAGTCTATTTCTAGTTAGATCTTGTCATAAAAATCACAAAATTTAGTTATTCCTCCAAAGACATATGGATTATGAGTAAAATATTAAGATCTTAATTATTTTGCAAAAAGGAAATAAAATACACCAGAATTTTGTAGAAACTCCATAAATACTGAGGCCATGCTAATAAATTCCTTTGATCTGCTAGTATATACATAACAATTATATCTATTTATCAGTATCAAATAAACACTGAATACTAGTGTCAGAGGGACCTTATAAGGTCATATACTGTACCGCTTCTGATTTCAGATAAAAATCTGAAGCTCAGTGAAGTTACACCACTTGCTTGGGATTGCATAGCCAGATGCCTAGCAGAACCGGGCCAGGCAACCAACCGTTCCTCACCTTTCTCTGCATTTACCTTATGTTTAAGCCCTTAGAAAAGAAAAATTCCAGGACATTATCGACTTAACAAAATTGGAAGCCAGAGCAAAGAAGAGTTGCTAGCCATTTACACACAGCTACTTCTCTGTCCACATGCTCATTTTGCTCATGTCTGTAAGGTCCATTCTCATATTCTAACCAGCTGCTCTAACTGTAGATTGTGGGTTTCCATTTCTGAAGCACTTGCCATTAAAGTGGATTGAGTACACAAAAAAGAAAGTGAGCTATTCTGTGGGACTGTTTCAAAGAATAAACCCTGCTTTAAAAAATCCCTGACTGAACACTTGCCTCCCTGTTTTCCAGAGCTCAAAAGAAAACCACTTCCGTTTCCTTGACGATAGGATCATCATCTCCAAAGACAGGGGTGACCACAGCTGTGATCCAACCATTATCTGTCCCTGTTCAGCAGGTGAGTGTGCCTTGGAGACAGAACCCACAGGAGTCGAATTATTTGCAAACTTCTTGGTTTAAAGAATATAGCTTTGATTCTAACTAGTATAATCCCTTGAGATATTTTCTAAGTGGCAACATAACAGGGAGAAATGACAATGGTAGGTACAGTTCTTTCTTTTACTCTACTAAAAATAATCTTTAATCAAAGCCACATCACCAAACAACTTCTGCATTTCCACTGGGAATATTTCTTCCTAATGGTCTGTAGTCTGATAAATGGTATGTGTGTTAGCTGTTTGTACGGATTAGTCCCCTTCATATGTGCCTTCTTCCATTGAGCCAAATTCATTCTCTCATTTAAAACAAATTAGAAGACAAGAACCGTCCACATACCAATAAAAGTTTTCCTATCTCCTAAAACCTAAATAGATAATAAGAAAACAATTCAAATTCCTTGACTTCACCAAGTATTTGCATCCTGCTTTTATTTCATTGTAAGACTCCCTTATCCAAGAAAGAATAGCAGTGCAAACTACTGGGAAGTGATTGTAGGGGGTAACTTTGCAAACACAAACAACATGACTTTTTTTTTAAGTAAAAAATATTACAATATAATGTCTCAGATAGATGTGCATTACTTTGACTTTGTGCTATGAGTGTGCTTAAATACAGAAGTCTGCCCACTGAGTCTTGAAATGTAAATCATTCCCAATTAATCGGTGTGTGTATGAGCCTTACCACACCCTCTATTATTAGCCTGTATTATTAGCTTCTACTACCTACTGAGCAGCCGTAGGTGTTTCAGTGACTGTGGTATGTGACATATCGTTTGTGCTATTAGAATATGCAGACAAAAGAGAAATTTGAGTTCATGAACTTGAAAAGAACCAACACAGTGTCAATTATTGTTGATGTCATTTATCGTAGATAGTCCATTAAACCCCTAAACCAAATAGAAATATTTCTGATAATAAATCAGTGGATTTTTTTGGTGTTTGATGTTTAAGTATTGGTAAGTATTTAATAAATGCTTGGCACTGTGCTAGGCATTTCAAGGCAGGAAAAAAATGTCACTAGCTCCATTCCCCAACATTTTATAAACTATATATGGGAAACAGGAAACACATCTTGAATATGATGGAATATATTTATGTGTTGCTCAGAAATCTTGGACAGAAAGGCACATTTGCTTCTAAATATGTAAATACCATAATACTGTAAGTAGTACATTTTAACTTACTTTTACGGTTATTTTCTTTTTTTTACCTTTTCACCCCTTTCACCCATTTTTTTTTCTACCTCCCACCCCCCCGACCTCTGGAAACCACCAATGTGTTTTCTTTGTGTTTAGCCATTCATTCATTGATGGACACAGGTTTGCTTCCATGTCTTTCCCCACTGTATATTCACGATTCCTTTGTTGAACATAGATGCATGGGTTTATTCTGGGCTCTCTGTTCTGAGCTGTGTCACTCTTGTTATGCCAATAACATACTGTTTCAGTTACTATAGCTTTGCAATATAGTATGAAATGAGGAAGTGTAATGACACCAGCTTTGTTGTTCTTTTTCAAGATTGCTTTGGCTCTTTAGGGTCTCTCTTGTTCCATACAAATTTTAGGGTTCTTTATTCTGTTTCTGGGGGAAATGCCATTAGAATTTAGATAGAGATTGCATTGAATCTGTAGATTGCTTTGGGTTGTATAGACATTTTAATAATATTGAGTTACCAATTGGTGAGTGTGGATTATCTTTCCATTTATTTGTGTCTTCTTCAATTTCTTTCATTACCTGTTTTTTAGTTTTCAGTATACAAGTCTTTGATCTCCTTGGTTAAATTTATTCCTAGGTATTTTATTCTTATAGATGCAAACATAAATGAGATTGTTTTCTTAATTACTCTTTCTTATAGCTCATTATAAGTATATAGAAACACAAAGGATTTTTATATATTGATTTTGTATCCTGAAACTTTACTGAATTTATAGATTTAACAGTTTTTTAGTGGAGTCTTATAGGGTTTTCTACACGTGCCATCTTCAAATAGTCACAGTGTTACCTCTCCCTTTCCAATTTTTATGTCATTTGCTTCTTTTTCTAGCCTAATTGCTCTAGCTAGGACTCCAATACTGTGTTGAATAAAAATGGAGAGAGTTGGCATTCTTGTCTTCTTCCTGATCTTAGAGGAAAGGCTTTTAGCTTTTCACTGTAAAGCATGATGTTAGCTGTGGGCTTGTTATATGTTGCCTTTATTATTGTTGAGGTATGTTCCCTCTATACCCATGTTGCTGAAAGTTTTTATCAGAAGTGGGTGTTGAATTTTGTCAGATGCTTTTTCTTTATTGAGATAGTCGTATAGTTTTTATTCCTCATTTTGTTAAGATGGTACATCACATTGAAAGATTTGCAGTATGGAACCATTTTTGCATCCCTGGAATAACTCCCACTTGATCATGGCATATGACCCTTTTCACTTATTGTTGAATTCTGTTTGCTAATATTTTGAGGATCTGTGCATCTGTGTTCATCAGGGATATTGGCCTATAGTTTCCTTGTAGTGTCCTTGTCTGGTTTTGGTATCAGGGTAAGGCTGACCTCTTAAAATGAGTTTGGGAGAGTTCCCTCCTCTTCTATTTTTTTGAAGACTTTGAGAAAGGTAGGTATTAATTCTTCATTGAATGTTTGCTAGGGTTCACCAGCGAAGCTATCTGGTCCTGGATTTTGTGTCGTGGGAGTTTTTTGATTACTGATTCAATCCCTTACTAATAATCAGTCTGCTCAGATTTTCTGCTGCTTCATGATTCAGTGTTGGTAGGTTGTATGTTTCTAGGCATTTATCCATTTCTCCTAAGTTATACAATTTGTTGGTATGTAATTGTTCATAGTCATTTCTTATGATCCTTTTATCCCTGTGGTATCTCTTTCATTTCTAATTTTCTTTTCAGTTTAGCTAAAGACTTGTCAGTTTTGTTTCTCTCTTCAGGGAGTTTGCTGTTAGTTTCATTGATCTTCTCTTTTGCCTTTTAAATCTCTATTTCATTTATTTCTGCTCTAATCTTTATTATTTCCTCCTATTAACTTTGGGTTTGGTTTGTTCTTCTTTTAGTTCTTAAGATACAAAGTTAGGTTGTTTATTTGAGACTTTTCTTGTTTCTTGAGGTAGACATTTACCGCTATGAACTCTCTTTTAGAGCTGCTTTTGCTGCACCCTACAAATTTTGGTGTGTCACATTTCTATTTTCACTTGTTTCAAGGTATTTTTAAATTTCTTCCTTGACTGCTTTTTTCTACCCATTAATTGTTTAGTAGCATTATGTTTAATCTCCACATATTTATGAATTTTCATTTTCTTCTTGTGATAAGTACCATTGTGGTAAAAAAAAGAGCCTTGATATGATTTCTATCCTATTTAATTTATTAACACTTGTTTTGTGGTCCAACATATGATCTATTATGGAAAATATTCAATGTGCACTTAAGAAAAATGTTCATTCTGTTGCTTTTGGATGGTATGTTCTCAATATATCTGTTAAGTCTGTCTGGTCTATTGTGTCATTTAAGGCCAGTGTTTCCTTATATTTTGTCTGGATGACCTACCCATTCATTCAAGTGGGATAGTAAAGCCCCTGCTACTGTTGCATTGCTATCTGTTTCTCCCTTCAGGTCTGTTAATATTTACTTTATATGTATTTAGATGAATGCATAAATATTTACAAATATTACATCATCTTGTTGGATTGATCCCTTTGTCATTATGTAACACCCATCTTTTTCTCTTCTTACAGTCTTTGTTTTAAAGTCTGTTTTGACTGATACGAATATAGCTGTACCAGCTTTTTTTTTGGTTTCCACTTACATGGAATACTTGGATCTCTTTGGTCTAAGTCTGTGTTTCTGAACAGATCAGTAGGCTATCATGGTTACCTTTGGGGTCAAATAGATACTCAAATAATCTTGAGTCTCTTGTGGCCAGACCGTAGATGGCTCATATTTTTTTTTATCCATTCAGCCACTCCATCTTTTGATTGGAGGGTTTCAACCAGTTACATTTAAAGTAGTTATTAACAGATATGTACCTTTTGCAGCTTTGGTAATTGTTTTTGGCCGTTTTTGTAGTTCCTCTCCATTCCTTTCCTCTTCCCTTGTGGTTTGATGGCTCTTTATTGGTATGTTCATATTCCTTTCTCTTTGGCTCTTTATTCATATATTTATATTCCTTTCTCTTTCTTCTTAGTGTATTTGCTATAGGTTTTTGCCCTGTGGTTACAATCAGACTTACATATAATAACCTATATCTATAAATTCTATTTTAAGTTGATAACAACTTAAGTTTGATCCCATTCTAAAACTCAACAGTTTTACTCCATACCCCCACATTTTAGTTTTTGATGTCACATTTTACATCTTTTTACCTTGTGTACCCTTTAACTAATTATCATGATCATAGTTATTTTTACTACTTTTGCCTTTTAATCTTCATATTACATTTATAAATGATTATCCATTACATTTGCTATATACTTATATTTGCAGTGAGATTATTCTTTCATAAGTTTTCTTGTTACTAATTAGCACCTTTTATTTTCAGCTCAACAAAGTCCCTTTAACATTCCTTTCAAGACTGGTATAGTGGTGATGAACCCCTTCAGTTTTTGTTTGTCTGGAAAACTTTCTCCTTCAATTCTGAATAATAACTTTTCTGGGTAGAGTATTCTTGGAAGTTCTTTCAGCACTTAGAATACATCATGCTGCCCACCCTGACCTGCAAAGCTTCTGCTAAAAAATCAGCCAATAGTCTTATGCAAGTCCATTGTTCATTAAAAATTGTTTCCTCTTGCTGCTTATAATGTACCTTTTTTTTTATCAAGGTATCATTGATATACACTCTTATGGAAGTTTCACAAGTAAAACAATGTGGTTATTACATTCACCCTTATTATCGAGTCCCCCCCATACCCCATTGCAGTCACTGTCCATCAGTGTAGTAAAATGCCACAGAGTCCCTATTTGTCTTCTCTGTGCCACACTGTCTTCCCCATGATCCCCCACACCATGTGTACTAAACATAATACCCCTCAATCCCCTTCTCCCTCCCTCACCCCTTCCCTTTGGTAACCACTACAGTACATTTTTAAATAGTTTAAATTGTATATGAATACTGAACATAAAGTAATATATCCTATTTTTATAGTTAAGAGAATAAGTATTCCGAGAAACTCCATTGTTTTAGTATTATAGCCAACCTGACATAAAGGTTAATAAGTTGGAGCAAAAAAAGGGCTGGGTTTTAATTCCAGTTCTACCATTAATTAGATGCCTTCAGCAAGTGATGTAATCTATCTGTGCTTAGTTTCTCCATTTGTAAAATGAAGGTAATAATACCATGTATCTCACAGCATGGTCACAACAATTCAGTGAGTCACCTTCACTTGGCACTTAGATCAGTGCCCAGCACAGAGCAAATCCTATATAAAGGTTCATATAGTCTTTGGACAAAAAAGACAGTGATAAGTGAGACCCAGTCCTCCTGAATCACAAGCAAGTGAAAAGTCTCACAGGGACAACGAGTAAGGCCCACTACCATCCTGGGTTCTCTACATCTCTGCCAACATTCCCAATGACATCCTGTGCCATATTTAGACACATAATATCAGATCATTGTCATCTTGGGCTACGAAGCTAACAAGCCCATCTCTAGGAGTGAATAAATCCAAAATGTTTGAAAATACATGATTGTACACAAAGGAATATTTTCCATTCTCTATTCTAGAGTATGTTCCCTGAGGTGAGAGCTGTTCAGGAAGTGTCCCAGCACCTTTGTTTTTTGCACATCAAAAAATGTATATATATATATTCCTTTTCAATTTGTTTCCTGTAATCTCTCTATCAAAAAAGAGTACAAATAAGTAGATGTTTGATAATTTACTTCATCCTCCACTGCCAGTAACTTAGGCTTTTTTGTTCAGTGAATCAAGAATGGATTTAAAATAAAATATAATGTCTGTGAGAACTTTTAAAAGGATGCTTGTGGAAATTCCACACAAAGAAATCCATTTGGTAATAGCATTTAAAAGCTCATGGATCCCTAAGGAACCAGGGAACATTTACCTTGAATAGAGAAGAGGAACAGATGTGAGATGAGGACGCAGAACAATGTCTGTACTGTAAGAGCAGACCAGCAAAATGATCTATAATGATTTCATTTACTCGTTTCATTCATGTGGAGCGATCCCAGTAATGAAAGGTCTCTTTAGCCCATCTTTTCAACAATTTATATATTTAGAATTTGATCCATGTGTCTCTGCTTTTTCAGGTTCACAGTCCAACCTCGCATCTCTGCCGACCTGATGGAACTACTTCTGCCTACTTTCCTCCTGTTTTTACAAAGGTCTGACATCTGCAAGTCTCATTCTCTGTGTCTGCGTCAGTCTTAGAATTCCATTCACATGTGGCTTCTGTGTAGCAGTCTTTAAAAATTAAAATGAAGAGATCAGTAGGCTATCATGGTTACCTTTGGGTAGCTATTCAGACAACTGCTGTGTGACTGTTTTCCCATGAGGGGTCTGAGCAGTGTGGGCGTGGGCAGTGATGTGATAGAGTTTAAAATGGAGTGGAAAGAAGACAGAAATAAAATAAGACAAAATACTACATAGGAAGTTGCTTGGGAGAGACAGAAAGTTTCATAAAAATGAAAAAAAAAGATTGACCTATTTTCAATTTGTTCTAAGTTGGTGTTTTGCATTGCAAAGCTGAATGACACCCATTTCGTCAGTCAGCTACTCAACTCAGAAATTGTTCCATATAGTATTCTTCTCCTTCCCCCCAGCTTATTTTTTGAGATTCTGTCTGGATGAAGTTGAGAAAATTATAAAACTTTATTGAAAGACATTTAAATAGGCCAAAGTAAATGGAGAGAGATACCATGTCTGCAGACTGCAAGATGGTAAAGAAGTCAATAATCCCAGATTAATCTATAGCTTTAATGCAAATCTAGCTAAAACTCCAAAAGGTTCTTTGTTTTTATTTATGTGCTTAATGGAGAACTTGGCAATTTGATTCTAAAAGTTGTGTAGGAGAAAAAATGGCTAAGAGTAAGTGTCAGGACACTCCTAAATGAAGAAAATAAGTTGGTGGTAAGAAAGGCATGGGATCTGTCCTCTGAGATACCAAGCCTCACTAAAGGAATAGTTAGGATAGCACGGCACAGGCACAAGGCTGGACAAATCAGCAGGTGCAGAGCCACAGACCCCCCAGTACCTGCAGAAGCCTGCAGACCACTGGGTGAAGAGTGAGTTCCTCAGCAGAGGTAAAAAAAATACTCGACTCGACTCCTAGCTCACACTTTTCACAAAAATATATCCCAGTTAAACTAAAGACAAATGTGAAAAGCAAATCTGTAAACTTCTGCAAGGCAGTGGAGGGAAGCATCTTGATTGTCTTCCTGTTGGGAATGATCGTTTTTCTTCTGAGCCAGTCTGCATCTAACCTTATAAAGATTTTTTCACAGAGTATTTACTATAGGACACAGGCGACAAATGACAATAGCTGGCAACTTTGGGAGTCCCCTCCTGGCAGACTACCAGGAAAAGATGTTGTAAAACCTACAAAAACTGTCACTGCGGTCAGTGAGGTCACCGTGTGCTCAGGATAGGAAACATTTATAAGTGGGTGGACAGCTCGCATTATACAGAGTTTTAGAGCTTTTCACAAGAGCTTTGTGAGCTCATCCCCAGGAAGTCTATGTTACCTGGTGTGTCATTGCCCAAGACACGGTGGATTTTGGGGTGCCAGGGCCCAGTGTATCTCTCATTTTAAGCAAATAAATTCTGTGTTGGTGGCACCAGGGTAAGAAAAGAGGATGTGGGATTTTGCTTTCCCTGCCCACAGCGCCTCACCTTGGTGGGCCAGCATGTGGGAACATTCCAGAATTCCTCCTGGGCACTAGGACAGGTCCTCAGAACCTGGGCACCTCCACCGTCCCCAAAAGACTACGTGGCATTCTGTGTGTGAACCCCATAATTTAATAAAAGAAAAGTAAAACCAGGTTCTACATTATACAAAGCTTGATCTAAAGATGATACCAGATGGCAGAGTGACTGACGCGCCTCGCACGCCTCGCTGGGCGTCTCCCGCCCCTTCCGCTCCGGCCTCTGGGCTGCAGAGCAGCTCCGTTTGTGCAGAGCCGTTTCCTTGCCTGAGCCTGCGTTACCCGCTTCCCTTTGGGCAGCTTCTCTCCCTGCTCTGCTGGCTCCTTATTGGCCTGGATTCTGGTTTTGGAAGGCAGGTTTAGAAACTAAATCTGCTCATCTCCCTTGTAACTCAGACCAGCTTTTGCTGCGTCACCCTGCCCATCTCCTTTGGCCTTTCTCTTGGGCGCGATGGGGGCAGAGGATGCAGGCGGACTGTGTCCGTCCACGAGGCGCCTCCACCCGGGACTCTGGAGAAGACGCGCAGGCTTCACGGCTGGTCAGAGGCAGAGCCTGTGCTTCTGCCTGGGGCGACCGGGCTTTGCTGGGGCAGCAGGACTGGTGTGGACTGTGGGACTGTGGGCAGTGGGGACTCGTGTGATGACAGGAGAACAGCTAGTCCCATGTGACGTTTCTTCCCAAGTAGCTGACCCTTCCAAGGAATCATAGTATCAGGCGGGCTCGATGTACAATAGCAGAGGCCTTTATGTGAACCCTAAAATGCCCCGGGATCCCAAAGCCCCTCCGAGGGATGGTCCCGTGCAGCCTCTAGAAGCTCGGCTCCCAGTCTCCCTAGGGTTCCTCACATTCCTGCATCTCCTCAGGATGTGCTGTGTTCAACTATGGCTTTTGTCAAGATAAAAATATTTGCCCCAGGAGGAGGCACATTGTAATCCTGTAATAGCTATGGAGTTTTGACTACTTAAGGCCCTTAGAATCTACACGCTAACATCTTTGACTTCACGATATTTGAAGAAAATGTATGATCCTGTAAATAAATCCAGATCCCCTTTAGTGCCTGGAAGCTTGAACATGAAAAATGTTGGTATACCATTTGTCAGCTACCGCGAATGGTTTCCTGGACAAGCCTTGGGGGCATTTAATTACTAATTCATGCAGGGTGGACCCCATGAGTGACACTTGTCCTGCTGTGATCCATTAAATCAGCTCTTCTCTAGACACAATCACAGAGTTTAAGAGTCACTTTAAAACCAGAGACTTCCTCCATTTGGAAATAAGGCAGGTGAAAGAATGCAGTCACGATTGGTTAATGACCTTAACCTTTTCACTTAAAAAGAAGATTTAGCAGCGAGGGCCATCCTTAGGACCTCATGATAGGCTGCTGTAGCTCGACCCACCTGCCAGGACCCCTACAGAGCTTTCCCACCGTCCCCACAGGCTTGGTTTTCCCAGCACACCGTTTGTTGTCACTTCCAATAATCTTAAAAAACAAAACAGAAGAAACACTTCTTAAGGTGAATTTGGTTGCTTTTTTGTTGATATATCAGTGAACTGCTCTATCAGATTTGAACTTTTAAGAGTTCTGCATGCCCTATATAAGACGTAAGACTCTCTAGTCAAAAGTTCACGTAGTCAAAAAGCTGAAGTAGTCCCATTGCTAAGTAATCCTGGAGGAGGAAGGCAGAGAGAGGGTGCATGTTAGGGAACTATTAATCTTGCAGTATTTAGTAACAGGTGTAAAAGCTTTACCTCTTTGCATCCATGAAGGCAAATTAATTTCTAATCTGTTGGGTTGTAAAAATTTATTGGCCTGGAGTTGGAGTCGGGTGCGGGTAACAGGATAACAGCAGGGGAGGAGGAAATGAAGGTCAAGAGGGGGGATGCCAAATGTTTTTACTCAGAACCTCAAAATGAGAAAATACCAAAACCCCTTATCTTAACAAACCTGACATACGGCACCAGTGGGCACACGTGGCAGGTGTATGTGAATGGGTGCAAGCTCGTGAAAACACACGTATACCTTTCTTTTCTTCCTGTCTAACTGGTGTGTACTTGGTTCACGTGGAGTATACTTGGTTTAAGAACTTTGCATTTTACCAGCTTTCTCCTAAATGTAGATAATGATAGGTAGCAATTGTTCTCATAAAATTCCATAAGTGCAAAAGAGGTAATAAATTTGTAGGCAGGCCCAAAATTCCTATAGGCCCGGTGCTAAACCTTACTTATTTCATTACATGGAGACTGTGAAAAGCTAATGACCCAGGGACTTGAAGGTGATTATCCTGAGTTAGTGGGAATTATTTAGTGATGCAAGGCCTGTGCTTTCTCCTCTAAGATTTGGAAGTTTTCTTCTCTGTTGTGAAATCATGAGAGCACCGCAGAGTCTCATGACAGTGTCTTCTTGGATTTCAGGAGCTGCAGGACACAGCCACCTCAGAGGGGCAGGTGGTGGTTCTGGAGTGCCGGGTCCGAGGAGCTCCCCCTTTGCAGGTCAAGTGGTTCCGACAAGGGAGTGAAATCCAAGACTCGCCTGATTTCAGAATTCTACAGAAAAGTAAGGAGAGGTGCCCATTTTCCCAAATCCAACCATTTTCTTCTGTCAAGCTCCCAAAAGTCCTAGAAGGGTTTAGTCATCAGATGAATAGGTTTCTGTTTTCAAGAGTGGGGAGGCCGGGTATCTGCAGGTGTCCAGTGCCCAGTAAGTTGAAGATGTGCTGTTTAATTCTAGATCCTTTGAAAACAATGCACATATATATTTGAACTAACATTGGGCAAATGATTTTGGAGGTTTACAGCCTCCTATACATCTGCCTTGAATTGCAGTTTTAAAAACTTTCTAGTGTAAGCTGTTACTGGAATTTGTATTTCTGTAGTTACAGAAATGATAAATTGATTGTTGCTTTATCTCTTTTGTCTAAGAAGTTTTCTATAACATTTCTTCAGACATGTGCTAGACAAGGTAATAGGGAAGTTTGTTATTAATGGAACCCCATTCTAATACTCTGTTTTATTTTTTTCTCGTGGGGCAAACAGAACCTAGATCTACAGCTGAACCTGGTAAGAAGCTTTTTCTTTTTTCCCTCTGGTAATGTATCTTTTGGGTTTCAATAGTTCTTTGTTTCTGTTTTAAAGCCATAAGAGGAACAATGTTTTTGCAGTTCCCTGGAAATGTGAAACCCCTTAAAGACAATATCTTCTTTATTATGGGGTCTGTACGCTGCATTTTACATCAGCTTCTTTATTAGTAAAACATTAACTTCCATTCAAACAAGAATATCAAGCTCCGTGACTTAGGCTTTTTAAAGTGTAGCCTTTTAGATTCAGAAAGCAAACTAAAGTAATGATGAAAAAATCTTCCTAAACTTCCAGTAGAAAAGAACCATTTGCTGCATTCTCCTACTGACTAAAGGCCACTGGTGCCTTGACCCCGGCTTGCAGAGCAGCCGGAGGGTAAGCGGAAGTGACCCGTGCCCGCTCACTATGTGCCCTGAGCTGTCAGCTTTCACTGCTGCACGAGCGCGAAGAAAGTCATCCTGCCCTGAGATTTCTTAATTACCAGGTCCTGTGACCTCATCCACGCGCTGTGCTGCCCAGAAGCGTCGGGTCCGACTGCCCACCTCCTCATGCTTCTCGGGTATTTATGGCTCCTCATGGACCAAAACAATGTTTGGCAGAGACAAGACATTCCTGGGTCAGGGCGTCCACAGTGCATTCCCCTCGAGGTGACTCTCTCCTGGGTTCTTCCCGTCCGCTACGTCACCAGTCTCACTCACTCCTTACAAAGGCTCGGAGACAAATCTGTGCCTCTTCTTCAGTGTCAGGCGGGCCCTGCCGCCCTGTCCCGTAGGGCTGAGGCCCGGCTCCACGCTCTCTGGGGCTGGGAGGTTGTCTCGGGCCACCGCAGCCCCGGTCCCTGCTGAGCAGCCTGTGACCCCGTCAGAAACAGAGGCTGCGGGTGCCGAGGGAGCAGCCGGAGTCGGTCTGCTGCCTTCCTGCCCTGCGTTCCAAGCAGAGCGTGCTGCCCCATTTAACGTGTCAGTCACCCTCAAAACTGCAGTCTTTCTGAACCGAGGAAACACGCTTCTCATTCTGTCTGTGTAGTTCTTCACATGAAATTTAGTAATGCCGGTTCTCTGATACATGGACCTCCAGACCTCAGTCTGTGGTGGGAGCTGATACGGAAATCCTTCAGGGAGTCAGGCCACAGCTTCAGTAGACAGCTAGGGAGGCAGGGAGGGAGGAAATCGCTCTCATCTACAAGAAAGTAGTTTAAAGTTTCTTTGTTCAAAAAATATGATCATAGACTTTATGTGAAAAACCTATGGAGCATTTTATGTCTTTTGATACTTTATGTACAAATAAAAAATAAAATATTGGGCCAAAGTTCCTAAAAGCGTTATTACTGAGATGGACTAAGATTGCTTTGGAGGTTGTACTTTATATTCTGTGTGAATTCATGTGACTCTTTTTCATCATGTTCTTACCCATTGTTGGCAAGGATGAATATCCAGTTTCCCGTGGCTGATGATGGAAAATCACAAACCAACCATCATCCAAAAATTCAAATCACTGGTCAGAAACTGCACAGTTCAGTCTTTGAGAATGTACGTGTTCAAGGATCGAAAACGCTCGGTGTCCCGGCTAAGAAGGAAGCAGTCGGGTGAAAAGGGGGGACAGGACCAGCCCAGCTCCCCGGCCTCCGGCCTCTCGCCCCTCATGCCACAGACACGCTGTTTCAGTCACAGTTTTCTTTTTTGCTTCTAGAATATAGTTTCTAGCATGAATTATTTAATGGAATTAGTGCTCAACAGCGACATGGAATGATCTGACTGTAGAACTCAGGTGCCTTTTAGGTTAATGTGGTAAAACCGAGGAGGCAGTGGCAGGACGCGGCAGGCCTCCCTTTAGAGCCCGAGTCCCAGCAGTATGTGAGAGAGCTTCTCTTCTCCATGTTCTCTGCATTTTCTTATATTTCTTTTCCCTTTAGTTTGATCTGAAAGAATTTAAGAAAACATGCTCCTTTGCTCCAACCACAGTAATAACATTTGCTGAAAACAAATATTTTCTTAGTACAGAAACATTTCAAGCAAATCCATAAATATGAGGAAAAAAACACAGTGGAGACAGGAGCTATTAAAAGTAAAACACAGCTAGCTTTCCCTGACCTCCAACAATTTCTCCACAATCCTCTTTGCTGTGACACTGCTAGAATCGCTCCTTGCCTGTCCACAGTGGGGCTGTGAAATGCTCTGCTTCAGGAAATCTGCAGTCGGTGAGTAGCATTAAAGTCTCTGTGATCATGTTTTCTAAACAAAGAAACTTTAAACACATAAATGACTATTCAAGTTCCTGCTTACGTGAGTTGCCGTAAGAACTTAAGAGCAAATGTTCAGATGTATTTGTAATAAACAGCATTCTGGCGTCCCTGGCATACAGGTAAGACTGTGACTACTAGTAGCCAAGTGTTACCTTACACTGACTGAGTTGACCGTTGACATTGTCGAGGGGAAAGCCACAGTATGTACTGAAGTGTTTACTTTCCTCTGATTGACTCTGATATCCAGGAGACAGTGAACTACTCAGCCCTACAAGACTTATGGAAGAGCTGGCTTCCCTGAGAGCTGTTTTTTTAGCCACTGTTGGGTGGAGAGGAGGAGGCCAGACATGATTGCAGCACATCTGAGGCAAGAGATGAATCGTATAGGATTGGGCCAGTGTGTTCTCCAAATGCTAGAACATAAATAGCCTTTGAAATTCAGGGACATGTGTGAGCGTTCAGATTCTGTCACCCCTCCCCTCCTGCGGCGCCCTCGCCCCCGCCCGGCCTGCGCTGCCCGGCCTCAGGGTCTCCCCTCCCTCGCGCTCGCCCCTCCCCCTTCCTCCGTTCCTCCCTCTGTTCCTCTCTTTCTCCATTTCCCTCCTCATCCTTCTTTATTTATTCTTTTTCTTTTTCTTTTTCTTTTTCTTTTTTCTCTTCTCTCCATTCTCCATCCTCCTATTTATGTGTAAGATGTTTTAAAGCTCTGGAAATAAAACTGAAACTCACTAGTACCTAGATATAATCCCAGCGAGAGTTAGATATTTAGATAAAGAGGGAACTAGCAGAGTCCCTCCCAGTGCATTTGTGCAACTGAAACAGGTTTTTCTCGTCACTACTGTGTTGTGTCTGTCTAATGTGTTTTACACTCCCTTCTCTGTCTAGACAGAAGTCAGCTTGCATCACAAATCTTTTCAGACTGTTTTGTGAATTAATAGCTAGTCAGCTTGCTTAAGACCAACATCCGTTTGTCATATTACCTGTTCTGGCCTCCTTCTTTGACATTCTGACTTTACCGATTGAAACCTTCAAAGACTAGTCTGGGGGCATGGAAGGCACAAGAGACTCATTTGACAGCTGTTAATACTCCAGGCTCTTACTCATCTGTCTGGAAACAGCCACAAACCATACTGAGTTACTCTTATAGCATTGTCTAATGGTGCCCAAAATCAAAACACAGAAAATGTCCTATAGTTAAGGAATTAGACATGTAATGGTGCCTTCTATTTCAATATAGATCTTTGCTAACCAGTGCTAGCCACTGTCTGAGATCTCGTTTAGTGGATCCATATTTGGAGTCTGTGATTCAGAAGGTGAAGTAAATTGTACTTTGTTAAACATACTAAGGTGTGTGCTGAGTTGCAGGAGGGCAGTTTATTGAGATCCCTGTAGATCATGCATAGTTAAAAAGTTAATGCAAATAAATCTAGGTTAAGATGGTGGGTTTAGCAAAAGTGGATTGTGTAAAACCTGTGGCTCCAGATTGCGTGGTGGGCGTTCATGGGGCGCACCACACAGACACGGGGTCTGCGATGTGTGTGATTTCTGACCCAAACAGGGACACTCAGCACCAGGTAGGGAAGACTGCTGTGCTTGAATAGTTCAGAGTTTCAACATCAGACCACGCCTCATTCTTTTCTGTGACATCTTACCTTTGGGAAGCTGAGTTTTTGATGTGTGCATGATAAAAAGCAAGTGCCACACGGAAGCCAAAGTGGAGAGGAGGTGAGGCTGGCTGTGTCCATTCTGCTTGTCCAAAGAATTGTGCAGTGCTCAGCAGAGGCACACGCCCGTGACTAGGTGTGGTTATTTAAGGGTAAAGTAGTATGTTTCTTTCGATTTATGTGTATTTTCTTCAGACAGTAACTAACTTGTGAAAACCTAAGCACTTATTAAATTCTTTGGAAATAACTGCTGAACAATTGAACCTGCAAGGTGTGTCTTTGGCTCGGGGCCACCCAGAGCAGCCATGAGGACGCTTGGGCTCCTGTGGACCAGGGAGGCATGGCTCAGTCTCAGGAAAAGGTGGGAAGACCTTTATCCACACTGAATCGCGTCTTGTTGACTTTAGCCCAAAGTTCTTTTTTAATCAGTTGTGTTTGCAAAACCCTGTGGTTTGGAGGGTAAAAGCTGGATTTATTTTTCATGAGGCTAGACCTCAAAGGGGGGAAGATGGCTGTGAGGGAAGACATTTCTGAAAATGTCCCCTATAACCCTAAGGACCTAGTAATATTATCCTTGCTGCCTCATCAGTTCATAAGTTTCTGCAAACACAATAGTTTCCTTGGGATTTAACCAGCTGTTAGGTATGTCCAAGAGCTTGAATGCAATTCAGGTCTGACTTCTAAAAGAGATTTATGTGTTAAGTAATTTTTAAGTAACTGTAAAAAAGAAAAACAGGATTTATCACCACCAAAAATAGTTTCCAATTTAGTAATTTATAGTATGCCCTCAAATCAAAACCTTTCATTTAGGAAAATTGAATTAAAATGAATCATAATTAGAATTATTAGTAACTTGAAATTTTTCCATTTTTAAAACCGGACAGTTTTTTAAATACAGGTTAGCAAGCCTCTAACTCCATTTGTTTAACACAAGCAGTCATTCTGTGATTTCTGTTCCTCACCAAGATGTATTTTACTGATGTCTTAAAGGTCTTTGCTCAAGTAAGATGCTACCAGATGAAAAGTCAATATTATAATCTGGCTCAGCTCATTTCCTCATGACTTTCTTCACTTTT